CCGCACCTCCTCCTGCTGTGCATCGGGCATGAAACCCTGTGCCTCAGGTAACTGGCACTTTTAGCTTACTGGCACGCACCATTCCCCACTTGTGCCAGATGACAGGGATTTTACTGTATAAGAATATATATAGAGATATATATGTAGCTATCAAGGTTTGCTCCCTGCTGAAGTGCCTGGGTCTGGAGCATCTTTCCTGCCCCCCTTGCGCAATGCCCAGTTCCAGTGCCTCAGAGGAAGCAGAGCCTGGTGTTTATATATCTATATAAACCTTGATGTTTTCAGAAATTATTAGAACTTCATGAGTCTTACAGGGAAAGGAAGTGATGCAGATGCTGTAACACAGTGGTTCTTAACCTTGTTAGACTCGAGGAATATGCCAGCTGTTATTTTTCGCTTGTTTTTTGACTACAGAAAAGTAACAAAGCCATTCTTCTGAACTCTAAAAGATTCCAGCAGGGCAGAATGTATTTGACAGTATGGATTCGTATTTGAAATCTCTGGATTTATTTTGTAAATCATGTTTGCACATCTAACAGTGCTAATACTGTGTGGCACCCCACAACACCCCTGAAAGGATCTCAAGGCAACTCCGGTCCCATGGTGCCTGGTTGAGAATCGCTGCTGTAACACCTTGTGCTGCTAGAATACATCTAGATTAGGACCGAGACACTATTTCAGTGTGAAGAGGCTTGCCACTAACTGCCCATTTTGTACCTGTTAAATGGATTTGATAACAGTCTTTGCATATCTGAAGGACAGTTATTAAACAGAGAGACTTTTTTTCTGTGGCTGTAGGGAACAGGGCTAGGAACAATGGCCTCAAGCAGGGGAAGTCCAGATTGGAGATTAGGAGGAACTTTCTGACTATGTGGGCGGTGAAGTGTTGGAACAGGCTGCCTAGATAAATTGTGGACTCTCCATCCCTGGAACTTTTCAAGAGCAGATTAGACAGGCATTCGGCTGGGATGGTTTAGTGAGGGATGCTGCTGCCTTGAGCAGAGGTCTGGACTAAAGGACCTTGAGCTCCTTTCCAGACCTATTTCTCTGTGATCTTGATAAGTGCCACTTAAAATATGAAACTTTGAACCAATGTCCAAAATTAAGGGCATGGCACAAGTCAGTATTGGGAGTTAATTTAGTCTAACTAGAATTATTTAAAGTTTTTGAACAGCTTTAGACAGTCTTGCTGTGCATTTACCTGCAGAACAGAGCAAATTGACCCCTCTCCCTCCAACAGTAAGTAGGGAATCGAAGCACACCATTGATTGGTTTCCACTGCCCAGGTTGTTATTAAGACATGTCTAGATGGTCAAGGGGTATGTATGTCTATGGTGCAGGTTGCTTTGTAGTGTAGAAGTGCTGAGCTAGTATTAAATGTGCTATCTCAAGTACCGGAGGCAATCTAGCTGCATTAGTACGGTGCTCAGATGAGCTCCAAGACATCTGCAGTCAACAGATACCCTCAAAACTGCCCTTTCTAGACAGTAACACTGGTCATTGATGCATTCTGATGTGTTAGCCTGCATCTTAATGAGGCTTTTGAACCCTGTTAAACTAACTCAAGTAATCTAACACAACTGAAAAAACCCCCACACTCTGTGTCCCTCAAGATAGGAGGTGAGGGAGTGGGGGGTAGGGAAGAGACTAGTAAAATAGAAGATTAACAGAGAACATTTTTGCATGATTCCAATTCAAGTTAATTTATTTGAATGTTTCAGTAGCTGTCAAATTATTTGATTACTCGTTCTTTACTGAGCTCTGATTGCATTACAACTCTAAATCTTTTATTTTCTATAAACAATCAGAAACTAGGACAGTCAACTGCTTCCTTATTCTTATCTCTGCATGTAAATATCATACCACCTACCAGTGCATATGCAGGAACAGTAGGAAGTGAAAGCTTGGAGGAGAGGAAAGTTAGAGTGGGTTCTGGGCTTGAACATTTTTATTCTCTTTGATATCCAAACCTGTTAGTCTGTTACCAATAGATGTCAAACATAATGTTACAGATTCAGAGTATTCCATTACTGTAAGATCAGAAATGATCTTGTTCCATAAAACAAGTATGCTAGTAATTAGCAAAATTGGCAAGGACAATGATGACTAGCACATGAAAAGTAAATTGATTTACAGATAAAATGTTGTCTATTTTATCATAATACTTCCTTAGACAGCCCTTCTCTTTAAGGCATTAGTTTTCAAACTGTATTCTGTGGAACCCTGGGATTCAGCAGTAGGGCATCTGGGGTTCGGCAAAGAGATTGGGCATAATGGCAGAGTGGGTCCTGAGGTGGTGTGTTGCTCTGGTGGGGTCGCTTGGCTCCCCGTCGGTCTTTAGGACAGGGGTAGGGGTTCTGTGGCAGAAGAAGTGGTATGAAAGAGTTCTGTGACTTTAGGAAGTTTGAAAACTACTGCTTTAAAGCATGTGCTTTTATCTTTAGTCTGTGCTGTTTCTCTCAGGATATTGTAAAATCTTCAGATAGCAGTGGTTTGCATTAACATGCTTAGATGATGCACTTCCTAGATACAAAGGGGTGAAAATGGGAAGGGGGAAATGCATCATGAAAGACTCCTCATTTTCCTGAAGCTTTTCCTGACTCTCGTTAGTTTATTTTTCTGTTATTTAATTCAAAATTCTTAATAGTTTGTCTTTTAAGTGTGTAACGTATGAAATAAACAAAGAAAAATAATGTTAAAGGAACATGAAAGTGGTGCAGTCAAGTACTGAAAAGTGAGAGAATGTCAGAAAGTGTTTTTGGTTTGTTTGGGGTTTTTTTTGGTGAGTGTGTATTATGACTCTGAGATGTTCTTTAACAATATGATCAAGTTCTGTCCTTCCTCTTGACCTGTTTCTCAGTACCACTTCTACCTACTTATACAGAGTATAAACTATGCATAATATTAGTTCAAAGCCAAAAAGCTCATGATTTACCATATAGTTCACTGGGCTGGGCCCCACCACAGAATTTCAAGCTGTGGTGACCCCACAGCTCAGCAGTGCTCAGTATGTGCATCTACTACTCCAGATACTCCCCACAAAGGATTGTGTGTTAATTAGCACCTCCCCCCACTGATGCCTGTTCTTGTTATGAGGCCTGGAATCCTCCAAAAATGTATATGCCGATGAGGTGCAGGGCAACCTGGTCCAGCTTTACCTCATGGAGGGCAGGGCGACACTAATCATATGTAACAGTCTGAGGCAGAGGCTGACAGAGAGATTCTGAGTGAACTGTTTGAGACCCTGTTTAGTGATGTTTGCCAGACATCTAAGGCTGGTAAAGAAACAGGAATCATTAGAAATGGGAAAGGCAGGCACAGCTCAGCTGTGGGAGTGAAGAGGAAGTTGAATTGTATGCAATGTAGTGGCTCACCATGACT